ACGCTGCATCAAAGGAAGGCCAAAAGTGAACGGAAAAATCGCAGCCGGGAATGTTCAGAACACAGTAGAGCAGGCCAATGACTATGGAGTAGGTGAAGAGTTTAACTATCTGGTCGGGAATCTAACCGACTATTATATCGCCTGAGGGAGAAATGATAAACTCAGGTTTGAAAAGCTGTTGCTTATCATTTAGTCTGGCAGCAGCAGAAATAGCTTCTACATAGCGTAGGGCAAGTAATTGATTTTCATGACTCGGTATATTTTTCTTTTTACTATAAAGTCTCTCTATCCATGGAGAGTTATGTATATATAACAAGAAGGTGATGGATAAGACTGTCCTGGAGTTTTGAAAGCTTATTCTAACCATAAGCTGGAAAAATGGTAAAGGTGAGAAGGTGAAGGCGTGTTTACTGACATTTGTCCGGTTTATGTATTTTGATGCATTTTCAACTCTCTTTACTGCGATAAAATGCAGATGACAAATTATGTAACCGATGGGAAATACGGTTTAGTTATCGTGTTAATCGTTCTTATGTAATTGGATCCTTGAACCTCTGTTGAATGAGATCACCGGTCTTTCTTTTAGTCTGAGTTTTGGTTTTCGGGTCACTTGGATCATGGACTCACTGGTCTGTAGCGGGAAAGATAAGTAAGCACAAGGCATTTGTATTTCATAGACGCGAAATGTTATAAATAACAAGGCATTTGTATTTCATAGACGCGAAATGTTATAAACAACAAATCAAGATCAACATATATATGGACCTATGGTTGTTGTCCCAATAATGGTCTAACCAATGCAAAAGGACGATCAGAATTCACAGACATTAACAATTCCAATACAACTACTTTTGTTGGAGAGTGACTCTTGAGACCAGGCTCAATCAGCCCTGCAGCAAAAACAATGACACAACTCATCAACATCAAATAAACTTTTTAACGGCATTCAGATTAAGGAATCGGAAGAAGAGAGAATCATGTCGTTACCAGGCGAGAGCTTTCTTCTGCCATAAAGTTCTTTAGCTAAAGGATTGGCAGCCCAATGGTTCACAGCCACCCGACTAGTCGGTTGAAACCCTATAATTTTACCTTCAGATGATAACACTACCTGCTTCCATTATAGAACCAGCCAAAGAAATCAACCAACATGGAAGCCTTCAATTCATTACAAAGATATGTTAAGAGGTTCTTCGTTGCTGGAGGTCAGTTATGGTGTCGCATTGTCCTCCTCTCCAAGCTTTGGTTGTCCCTTCAATATATCGCCAGGTCTTTTGATTGATCTCTGGACAATGCGACGCCATTACTGACCTCAGCTACGACAAACCTCTAACAATTCATCACAAGATATCGTTCTGTCCACAATTCACCACAGAGATATTACCTGGTAAGTAGCAATATCTTGCGCAGATGCCTTTGCGTCTTCATTGAGTTTCTCCAGAAGAGAGGAGCTTGTATCGATGTGATCTTCACCAGACTTAGCTCTGCTGGTTTCTTTCAAGTATTCAGGTACTTCCCCTATCCAGGCACCTATGCTGCTTTCTAGGGTTATCTCTCCCTCCCAAGAGTATGCATCCTTGAGCTTGTTGACGAGTAATCCGCAGAATGAATCCAACTACTCATTTGATGTTTCAGACTTTAGTTTTTGGAATTTTTTTTTTGAAAAAAGTACCACAAATGATTAAAAAATGCCAGACTAGACATGAAATATATAGGGACTTGCATCATCGTTGTTGCATATGTTAAGGATGATTCACTTCTTCATGTGATCAAATGAATTAGAACTGTCCTGAAAAGCTATTAATGTCTATTTGCGTTTGCTGCCCTACAAATCTATGTGAACAAAAGTGTTTGCTCAATGCATACCTCGGAGGAATCTGAAGATTGGTGAGATAACAATGCACTCTCTGACCATAAAATATCTTGGTGTTTACCAGGATACTTTCTCTGGCTTTGCTGAGGAAAACAGAATTGAGCTGCAGCACCCACGGCAAGAAGAAGAATTCCACTGGCGATGGTGACCGATATGATTTTCAACAAAGACAATCCTCTCTGGCAATAGAAGAATAAACAAAACAAAAAAGTTTAACAGAAGTTGCACATGCAAAGCTACAAAAACTAAAAGTGTATTTTATTAAACCACATACATTTCTCCAACATAATGCTACAAACTCTAATAGTAAACATGAACATATTTTGCAGGCTGAAAACATAATCTAATAGTAAACATGAACATATTTTGCAGGCTGAAAACATAGTTCAGAAGGTGACTGAAATGAAGCACACCAATTAAATAGAAAAAGTGATTCATCATTGGAGAGTACAAATTTAAGTCAATGGCCTCTGATTCCTTACACATGACCAGATACCAAAGCATCAGCCAAAAGATTGGCTATATTTTATTGAGTTCAACAGTCAATACCTTTTCATTCGGTAAGTCTGAGTAATTTCCAGAATAATTACATGGTAGCTGTTTCCTGGGCAGTGAGTATATATCTTCAAAGTACATATCCAATGCTTCAGCCAATCCAACCTAAAGAGTTTTATACACATGTCAGGAGTGTATGGGACCTCATGAAGTAACATGAGTGGAATCATACACCTTAGCAACCATAGTGCACATAATATGCAGCAGTAGACGAAAATATCATTGCATCAGATTCCATGATTGATAATATCTTTCATCTTGCTAGATTTATTCCCACACAATCTATCAGTTTCTCCTTGTTGCATAAACAGAATGAATAATCATATCATGGATTTTACATTGTCTTAGACGACCTCTCATTCAAGTATCAAATCTTTTCAATGTCTTTAACATCTTTCATCTTGCTAGCTTTAATTTTCACACAATCTATCAGTTTCTCCATGTTGCGTAAACAGAATGAATACTCATATCATGGATTTACATTGTCTTAGACGACCTCTCATTCAAGTATCAACTCTTTTCAATGTCTTTAACACAACAGTATAACATAGTTCGAACTTATCATACAACCGTGAACAACCAACAGAAGATGATAAACTAGAACTTTGGAATGTATATCAATACAAAGAGAGATGCTAGCCAGAGAAATGTATCAAGGGAGAGCCACAATGCCATTCCACGTCTTACGCAAAGCATCAAGAACAAAAGCCTAGATGGGTAGGTGATGCAAAGAAGGGAAAAAAAATCAATACCATTTGGGAGTGAGTTAGAAGAACCTCCCACTTATTCTCGCTAGACTTTCTCCATCCCTCAAGCTTGAGGTCCCCAAGTATTGTAGTATCAATTTCTAGTCGATATGCAGGTAAATACTCATTTGCCAAACTACTAAACCCAGGTCCACCAATTTTTTCCAACTTAGAACTGGCAGACAAATTCCACCACCTGCTTCTGTGCCTTGTGTCTGCGATTCTGAAATTTTCCTTCCTTGATTGGAAATACTCAAGCAAGTGGTTGGTATTTTCACTTAGCTCATCATCAAATAACTTGTACAGGACAACCGAGCAGTCTCTTGAAGCAATCTTCCTATGTTTCTTTAACCATCTGAAAAAGGGAAACTTAGCTTTTCCCAAATAATCATCGAGGAAATGCTTCTCAGTGTTTTGAAGAACAGAAATGCATATAACTTCAGCAAAAGCAGATATAACCCTTTCATCTGATGAGCTAAGAGTGAAGGATGTAGAAACCTGCTCATACGAAATGAATACGATATCAATTTCCACTAGCAGACCATTATCACTAGAAAACATCACATCATCCAAACGAAGTTAAACCTCTCGAGGGCTCTCGTAATCTCCCATTTCTCTTTCAGCTCCAGGTCCAAACAACACCAGCTGAAAATTCCAAAGCTGCCGCAACACAACTTGCCTAAACGTCATCGCAAGTATGTTCCTTGACAAACCTCCGCTAGATAGATCCTCTGAGAGAGATCTCCGCAGCTTCTTTGCTCGTTCTTTAACTTTCGGAGTAGGCAAGAACTGTCCAAACAAAAACGTTACCTTGAAAATGTCAAAAATGCAAAATCAATTTGTCAGAACATTGTTGATCAAACTGACCAATCGGGTTGATACAGTAGCCTTAGGGTCAGATCCTCCGGGGAAAACGGTCTCGACCACCATAACAGGGACATTATCTCGAAGGTGTTCATCGGCGGCTTCACCACCGTCGGCTGCAGCAGCGGTTAAAGCCTGATCAAAAGCTACCGTACCAACAAGGCTTACTCGAGCCGAATCGTTCTCGTAAGTCCGCACGCATGGAAGTGACTTCCCGTCGGATTTCGCCACTAAACGGAGAATCTTTTCCTCGTTGGTAATGGATACAGAAGGATTCCTAGAACAACATCGTACGAATGACACGAAGCTTCTTCTCCGAATCGGAATTGATGTGAAATTTCGAGAAGGGAAAAGAAGAGAAGAAGCTGTAGAAACCGAAGCCATTGACGACGGACCCATAAACCCTAAACGGGGAGGTTAGAGGAGGAAACAACAAAACGACGACGTTTTAAGTAAATGACACGTGTCATGACCTACCACGTGGCTATAGAGAAAGGTTAAAAAAGCTCTTCTTCAACATCTGAAAGAAGGAAGCAAACACGACGACAATGGCGGAGAAGAAGAGCCAAATTCCCGATAATCATTCGTCGGCGAAGAAACCGGCGACGGAGATCGGATCCGGATCGAGCTATTCGGGTCAAAGAACAGCGTATTATAACAGACCCGAGTCGGTGAATCCAGATCAGGCGACGTTGAGGGAGCAGTGGAAATTCGCAATCCGGCAGTATAGCAAGTGGTACTCACACGCTTGGGGAACGGCGATTCTCGCCGGCGGAGTTTTCTTCGGGCTCGGTTGGATCATCAAAGGCTCTAATCCTCTTCCTTCACTCCAATCGAGTTCTAAACCTCCTCCTTCTCCTTCTGGACGCGATGAAGAAAAATGATTCCATTTCTGCGTTTTATGGTGAGATTCTTCGTCTTCTTCATTTACCAATCTCGATTCGTATTTCTTCTTTGATTATGGGTTTAGGTTTAATCAAAAACAGAGCACTTATGAGGCACCTAACTCTTCAAAATTTGTTTACTGATATCGAGATTTGTTTAGTTTGCTCTCTAGTAGTAATTTGATGATACATATTAGAATGTGGTTATAGCTCTCATATAGATCCTTTAATTTCTATTGAACTACACTTTGCTTGATCCTAAGAAGTAAGAGGAGATTGAAGTCTATACGGACTCTGTTCAGTTGCTTATAGTAAGAGATGGTAATTTTACTTTGAGCTCTATATCACATATCAAAGGTTACAAATTTACGCGAATATCAGCAAAAACAAAGATGGTTTTGCCACTGATATCTCGAGAATTCATACTAAAGTGGTCTTGTAGTGAAGTTTGTTCAATTCGTTTCAGTACATTTGCGTGAGAATGGAAGTTTTATTTCTCAAGTATCAAGTAGTACCTTTGGGGTTTTCTCCCAAGTTTTGTGTTGCACGCAAGATCTGCAAATTTTTAGGGCTTCACTCTCAACTAATTAGGCTGTTTTAAACTTGTATTTGCAGAATGGGGAAATGCTGTATGAGACGTGAGATGGCCCATGAGATTTAGTCAACAATGACACATCTTCATGTAGAAAGAACATCAATAGTTGGAAGCGGAGAGAGAGCACAAATCAAAGCGATTTTAGGGTAGAACAAAAGAAACTTGAGTGTAAAACTTTGTTTGTCTTATAAATTCCAAGGAATGTATACAAATTTGCAGGACAATAGTGAAAATGTTTGATGTAATAATGAAAATACAAGAAATAGTGTGTTGATGCCAAAAACCTTTTACCTCAGTTGCATGAGTACATGTAGTTAGGCATGCTCATTACGGATAAAGAGTCGTATAGTAGCGGGTAAGATTAATAAGAGTATAAAAAACCACTACTCGTCTTTTAAAAAACGGGTTGGGTAATGCGGATAACGGATAAGATAATGGTTATTCGGATAGTTAAAATCACTACTAGGATGGGTAATTCACGTAATGTAATCATGATTACTATCCGAACGGATAGTTATACGAGGTAATTTTGGATAATATTGGAAATTTCTAGATAAATTTGTATAACTTTCTAACTTTTTGGACAATATTGAAAAATGTCAGGTAAATTGAGTAATACAGCGAAGTTTTAATAATTTTAGAAAATTTAAAACTCTTTTAACTATCCATACGGCTAAATTGAGTATTTCTAAGTAAACCAAATATTTCGCTAAATAAACAAATAGTAATTATTTGCCAAAAAAAAAAACCAAATAGTAATTAAACAAAATCCAACATTAATAAATAGACATAGTATAAAGCGAAAACATATTTTTAAAGTTCTTATCAAATAAAAAAAAAACCATATTTATAAAGCAAAGTTCATACAATCGAAACACAACATACATCATACATGTACAACAAAAAAGGTCTATAACACCGATAATAAAATTTAAAAGAGTTCAACAATAAAGATAACTACATCATCATAGAAGGACCGTCAATCTCCAATAAAACGAAACCTGTGAAACTAAAGTCGAAAATCAAACGTACATACCTTGGCTTAAACTCAATAGTCTCTGGCATAGAAGGATCCACCACATAGTACTTGAGGGTTTTACCTAAGTTCATTCAACACATTTTATCAAGTTACTAATTTTGTCATAAAGAATATAAAAGTAAAACCAATTGCCTGATCAATATCAAAAAGCAGAAAAGAGAACAACGTACTTTGAAGTCCACATCTCATGAATTGCATTCAAGTCATTACGACTTGTGTTGCCTTTAGTGATGCTGCATACATTGCTTTGAAATTTTCAAAATTAAAGGTTGAAGAGCTTCGAGCAACTTGCACCATTCGTTTCAAAATCGATTGCAATTGCGGCAAGAATTTGGGATAAAGAGCCTTCATGTCTTTGATTCGTAGAGACCTCTCGAGCATGCTAGACAAAGCCATCTAAAGAGACTGAATCAACAAACAAAAAACAAGTTAGGTAACAGTTGACGTTCCTGAAATAGTTGTACATACAACTTCATAGTTACCTCTTTTGGTTCCAAGAAATCAGACATCTTCGCAAGGAGTTGCACTCGCTCAATCATAAAAGTTAGAAGCTTTTTTGTAGTTCAGATGTGCTTGTTTAGCATACTCATTTGCTTTCTTCAGATTAGTCCCCTTCTTTACGATCTATATACCTCAAACAACAATTGTTTTCATACCTCAAAGATTTAGTGAGGTTCTTGTCTTCTAATTCTAACTTGGATTTTTTGTGCTCACACTGTGCAAAAACTAAACGTAAGATATATACATAGTTGTTTGTTTTCTTTTCTGTGGAACCTAAATTTTTCATTTTTCTCGTGGCTAGGAACCAATTACACTTTCTGTGGATACTCGGGTAGAGTTTAGTTTATTCGTCATCTTGTTTTCTCTATTTCATGGCAATAATTTTTTTGCGTTTTACCAACAAAAA